CATCACAGACACACACACCAACACACACGCTACCACCAAAAACAACACCATACACCACAGACACACACAACACACACACACACCACACAGCACACACACCACACACCACACACATACCACACACCACACACACACGACACAACCCACACGACAACACACATACACTCACAGACACGCACAGACACGCACAGACACGCACAGACACGCACAACATGCACACATGACACGACATACTCACATGACACACACATACACACATACCACCACAACACACACATACACGCACACACAGACACACACACACACAGACACACACAGGACACACACAGACACACACACACACACAGACACACACACACACACACAGACACACACACACACACAGACACACACACACACACACACACACACAGACACACACAGACACACACAGACACACACACACAGACACACACACACAGACACACACCACACACACACACACAGACACACACAGACACACACACAGACACACACACAGACACACACACAGACACACACACACACACAGACACACACACACAGGACACACACACAGACACACACAGACACACACACACACACACACAACACAGACACACACAACACACACACACACACACACACAGACCACACACACACACACAGACACACACACACACACACACACACACACACACACACACAGACACACACACACACAGACACACACACAGACACACAGACACACACAAGACACACACACACACAGACACACAGACACACACAGACACACACACCACACACACACACACACACACACACACACACGACACACACACACCACACACACACACACACACACACACACACAGACACACACACACACACAGACACACACACACACACACACACACACACACACACAGACACACACACACACACACACACACAGACACACACACACAGACACACACAGACACACACAGACACACACACACACACAGACACACACACCACAACACAGACACACACAGACACACACAGACACACACACACACAGACACACACACACACACACACACAACACACAGACACACACACAGACACACACAGACACACACACACACACAGACACACACAGACACACACACACACACACACAGACACACAGACACACACATACACTACAGACACCCACACAGACACACAGACACACACAGGGACACACACAGACATACACACACAGCCACCACACACACACCACACACACACACCACCCTCCGCCATATAAGGAAGGTTTAGACCTCTGTAGTTTCTTCCAACCCTTTTTGTCCTCCAGCTCCTTGATAAGCTGCAAATCTTGAGCCTCCCCGATCACGGCAACTTCCCGACCACACGGGACGAATCGTCCCGTGTAACCCCGTGTGTGATCTCCAGACCCCGAGCTCGCAGTTCAGATCTTGTACAAGAGATCCGAGTGGCCTATCAGCGACGAGCGTCATCTTCCGGCGCCGCCTGGTACCATGAAGTGCAGCTCGATTTGCCAGCGACTTCGCAGTAGACCTCCAGGTCCTTCATGGTGATCTTCCGTTGTTGCCTTTGCTGTTCCTTTAGCATGCTTTTGGTTCCCATAAAAGTTCAGCGTGCTGCTCACGAGGTTCGCGAGTCTTGGCGCTCGTTAGGCTCCAGCGCTGCTGGCCGCGAACCGCAATGATGCTCGTTGCTCGCAGTGGGGCCAAAGCTCCAACGCGTTGGTCAAGCGCTTGCGCAACCTCGCAGGCCAGGTTGACGGGCACGGCGTCTCCATCATTGCGGGGGCTTTGCCCCTGACGCGCGGTGACACCGGCTGGTCCGGTGCGCGACATGTTCTACAGTTGCATGCCAGTCGATCACGCCGCACACTAGGATGTTTTATGGAATTGCGTGGCGCACGCGCACCTCCGCAACAGTAAGTGTTTCCGGCCTCTCTTCTTGCAACAGCGCTTAGAATGGGGGGTCTCTTGACGTTCCAGTCAAGAATGTCAGGACTCTCCAAGTCATAGGCACGCAATTCGTGCCGCAACGGGGCAGGGAGCGCAAGCGTCCTCCCTGAGGAAAGGCTGAAGCGCCTTTAGATTGCTGACTGCTCCTTGCTAAGGATGGCTAAGGACAGTTGAGACCTGGGCCTTTCGGGCCCACATCTAAGACTGCGCTTTCCCTCTTCGGCGCCAAGTACGGAGCCCGTCAACTCTCCCCCAGTTCATGTAGATCAGCTTCCTTGACAACACGCCCCCTACGGCGAGTTACGCTGTTTGGCGAGGCGGGCTTCAGGCATTCGGCCATGTGAAGTGCGAAGATTGTCAAGAAAAAGAAAAAAAAAAGAGCTCCACAAGAAGCGTCAGAAAGAAAAAACAAAAGAGAAGCACTTGGTGCAATGAAGAATTAAAAGAGGCTCGAGCCCTCAAGAGGCTGTGAGCCCCATGAAAAAAGCCTGTGAGGCGCAGTTCCTGTGCACAGAGGT